AATTAAAATTATGATAAAATCGCATGTATCCCGCGCACATATTACAATTTCACTACTTCGATTTAGTATCTTGTGGCTTCATTAAGCTGTGCGAAACACAATATCTATAAAAAATAGCATAAAATAAAATGTAAAATGTGCTGGATCAAGTGCTATTCTATGCGCTGCTGAATAAAGAGTGTTTTGTTAAATTAAACCAGTGATTAATGTGATCATTAGAACTAGGAGTATTCACGCAGCAATATATCGATGATATACTAAATGTTTTATTATTAAATCTCTATATCTCTCACTTACGTATTATCATCATATCTCTAGCTACGTCTCTATGTTGCATTTTTAACTAAAGCTTCTACTTAAGAAAAATCTCGGATGCATGAACTACACGCAGGTGATTTTAAAAGTCCAAACACAGAAAGCAGGTGCGTAACCCGACTCTGAATACGAGGAACTTTTCTGCCATTAACTTTTATATATTTTTTTTGTGTTGCTGTTATTACAGATAGCTCAGGACTCGCTGCTTCTTATGACTCAGAAGCGTTTGTACTGAGGGCTGACTCTTCTAAACTCACACTGCATTGCTCACTCGCTGTTACCTAACTCCCTAGTCCATAAAAAGCTCCTTATAATAAGAGAATCACTATAATTATACGTAAGTGCCATCATTTGGAAGGACAAAAATGTAACACAGCACTTATTTGAAAGGGATATTAGTACTGCTGCTGTTAGATGAAGATAAACGGTACAACGATTAATAAATAACAACATTAATACACTTGATAAAAAATAAGGACTTCCTGGCGTATCTTTTTTTATTACTACTACTACTACTAATAATACTATGTTTAAATGGAATAGATCAAAGCAAGGACATTGTGTATCACACAGCCTTAAAATAAAAATTAAAAAAAAGGACAACAACTGTGTTTAAACAGTCACTACTTAAAATAATTTATCATTAACATTAGGAAATTCCAGCCAGGACCAAAAATAACGCAACCAAATGACTGATTCTTGTTGTTAAATCAAGCTAATCAAACCCTGTGATAAGCAGGCAAGCACCACAAACACACTGTGCAGGAATGTAAAAAAGCAGTAAGTCACTGATGAGTCAGTGCTCGCAGTGCCGCATTCCTAATTATCCCTGTTTTTAATTCATCGACAGCAATCGAGTCCTTCTTGTCCTCCGTCTTCCACTGCGGCACTTTAATATCCAAGACACGTACACGTGGATAGCTCGTGTGTTGACTAAAATTTGTGAGTTGAATGAAGCAAAGCCTTGTTTTTTTTTAACTACACGCACGCACAATGGCTGATGCATGTATCCTGCAGTCGTTAAATTAACGCCACACGTCTGTGTGGTGAAATACCAACGTAAACAGTGGGGGCGCTATAGCACCGTGTGTCCACGACTAACTAAACAAACTAGCGCTGTATCTCAAATCACATCCTCGTGTACGATTCTACAGTTATTGAATATTAACGCTATTTTGTGTTTTTAAAAACCCATTTACGATGACCAAAATCTCTATTTTGCGTACCAGTCTTCTGGAGCTTTTAGTGAATACTTTTGCAGGTGAGGCCAGAGTAGACGCAGACCATGACAACAATCACGACAACAGTGGAAAGTTTTAAAGAGAAGTCTGTTTAAAATCGCTGTGTATGAAATCACTAAATTCCTGATGGACAGGGATGTTTTATCTCTGACGTACTAACTCGTAAATGTGGCTTTTAATCCTCCAGATGTACACAAAGTACGCAGGCGAGTGTGTGAACTCTGACATTCATTTCCTGGTCACTTCCTGGATTTTTTTCCACTATATAAGCACATTGTTAGCACGAGCACATTGCGAAGTCTTGCCATCCATTTTTTGTGAGTTTGTGTAAGTTCTGAACGGTTGTAATTTTCAACTGCCATGGCGTGTTTTGACCATTTTCTTCTTTTTCTTTGGATTTGTCATTTTGCCCGTATTGGCTGTGTATTATCTTTATGTTTATAACCTTTTAATGTTGATGATTATTGGATTAAAATTCCATCTTTTCTGCTCAGATCTCATTCTGCCTCAGACACTAATACGTTACAGTGATATTTAGACCTGAGGCGTAGCTACAGCTCAATGCAGGGCGGAGTCTGCCAAAAACACAGGCGTGTCTTAGTTACATACAAGTCTTAGGAATGATGACATTATGACTTACCTGAGGCCATGTTTTTTTATTATTATTTAGAAGATATTAGAGGAGACTAATGATATTATTAAATTGTGTGATCGCTAATTAACCAAAACAGGGCACAACCCTTTTTATTTTAAACCTCAAATTAGATTTCATGAATTTTGATTTTGTATAATGACAATCAGAAAGACTTTTGTTGTCCAATTTCACTTATAAGGATTTGACTTGGTATGAAAGATGACTTTACATTGTAGGATTTTTTAGTGTACGTAGAAGAATTCTTTGGTCGTGAGTTGAGATCGGCGGTTTTAGAACGCGTAACGTGACTCGATTTAGTGCCACTGTGACGAAAGTTTTGTGAAATTTCTGATTAAAATCTCAGATCGTGAGTGCTGCTATGATGCTCATCTAAAAGCCTCCAATAGGAGGACGGTCAACTCACAGGACAGCTACAGATACGGTAGCGGCGACGGAGAAACGAAAATCAAATGGACAGAAAGAAAATCTCTTTATTACCTAAAGTTCACTTTGAGGAATTTCTGGATCACGCTGATTGATGACGTAAGCAGAACGTAGAAATTGGAGGTCTGAATGATTGGTTTGTCAATCAATTTTTGTCGATTCAGTACTGGTTCAGTCATTTCTGCGTTTTTTCCACTACTGCCTATAAGCTTGACTCTTTCTTGTTGGTGTAAACTCTTAAGCTATTTCTAGTTCTAGTTTAAAAAGAATAACGTGTGCTATTTTATCGGCTTGTGGCCAATCTGCGTCGGCGGATTCCATGCTGTTAAATTGTGAAGTTTGCTGCGATTGCGTGAATGTACTAATTAAAATCTTAATTTAACTTGCGTACACCTGGGAGTTCAGGCCTTATGTGTTCAGTATTATTTATCCGTCAGTGTTGTTATTGTGAAATAAAAGCGTTTCTATATAAATCAGTGTGAAAGTGTTATATTTTTATTAATATCACCATTATGCCATGATATGATTTCCTTTCCCACTAAATTATAGCATAGAGCTAATCTCCGTGAAAACTCCACGTTGTTAATTCAGCCGATGATTATAATTACAGCTGCCACTACTCTGATTACTGCTGTCACTACTGAATAAGTAAAATAAGGAAATAAGGAAAATAATCAACGACAGGGTGCGAGGATGAAGCGGAGCTGCAGTTAGAATGTGCCAAAGTGTTTAGTTCCTCTTATACGACAGAAATTTTCCAAAACTACAAATTTTATTCAGTAAAGAACAACAAATCGTTGAACAACATTTTTATCCATTTATAGTTACCATTTATAGAAAAAGTGGTATCATGTCATCTCTATTTAAATGTAATTATTGGAATTTTTATAGAATATCACTGTGTGTTTCCTGTAATATTGTGTACATTTTATATATGCTTTATATTTGCCTGAAACTTTTATCCAAAGCGACTTACGTTTGAAGCAAAGGCTCTTTCTCAAAGATCCAACCATGGCAGCGTTGGGATTTGAACTCATAACCTTCTGATCTGTAGCTAAAAGCCTTAACCACTGGGTTACCACGTTCCTCTGCTAGCTTGCGTTTTGAGTTTTTATTAGAATATACTCAAACTCAACTCAAACAGTTGCTCTCTCTCTCTCTCTCTCTCTCTCTCTCTCTCTCTCTCTCTCTCTCTCTCTCTCTCTCTCTCTCTCTCTCTCTCTCTCTCTCTATATGTATATAAAGATCCACATATTTTTCGACATGAAGAGATTCCTTACCATTCTCACTCCTGCCTAAAACGTGCGATATCCCACTATGCTTTGCATTTTCTGCTATTTTACTGTAAAACATTTCTCCATTTACCTAATGATTTACAGTACAAGTGTGTAAAATAATAACAGAACTTTCCTGTAAAGTAATTTTACAGCTGAGAATACGCAGTTGCGTCTGCGTCACCTTACAGAAGACATCACCATATCAACGATTACGATTACGATTACGATACGACGTGATAGCGTAGAACAGGAACGAGAGCGAGAGCATTAATATAAACCTGTAACTCGAGAATTCCTTATCAACTGTAACTGCAACTGTAATTATTATTAGCGACACTCCTAGCGGTACTGCTCCTGAGAACGTTAATACACGGACAAATAAAGAAATAAATAGCGGTTTGTTTGAAGGGTACAGAGTGTTTGTGAGGAAGTGTGACTGCTGAGTTTCCAGAGTGCAGAAGGTTTTGCGGTGCGGTTGCCTGCTGCCGTCTCATCCCACCAGCGAGGAGGCAGAAGAGCAGAAACAGATGCACCGGGGTCACACTGACCTTGTGTGTGTGTGTGTGTGTGTGTGTGTGTGTGTGGAGGCTATGAAGCGTCCAGGGGCTGAAGATCAGCCTCTGATTTGCAGGCGGAACATTCGTGCTGCTCAGGCGGAGTTAGTTTCCTGTTTGGGGAAAGAAGGGAGCGTGTCTCAGACACACAAAGGTCATTTAAATCGAATGAATCAAACGCTCAGAGAGCCGTAACGCCGCCCATTTATCACCAGTCCCGCCAGGTTTATAGATTTAACTCCGGCGAATTTAGAAGAACTAAAACATTCCACACGCACACATATATACACACATACACACACACACACACACAAATGTTGCTTGCTTGTGCATATGTGATTATAAATAGTGTGAAATGCTGTTACTCTGCGAATCGAGGGTCTTTTGGCGTCGTGTCACGGGGCTCGTGCATCCAGCTAGGGATGAGTATCAGAACCAATCAGAGTCGCTCGTCTCGGTTCACAAACGTGGAGGAACTAAAACAAACGCTCCAAACACCAACAGAAATAAAGCGAGACCAATACTATTCTCCTGCATTCGTTTAATCTCATTAAATGTCCTGGTAACAGTTTCAGTGTGAGGAATAAATCACCACAGGGGCATGCTGTTATAGGAAAACAATCCACAGCCTAGAGGATGTGATGGTATTAATTTATTATTATTATTATTGTTATTTTTCTAAAACATCACTTCCTGAAGTGTTTTATTCCTCTTGTACCACATTACAGCAATTCCAATTTTTACATTCATTAACAAACAACACGTCATACTTATTATCCGTTTATAGTTACATGTAGTGTTGTGGTGTTTTTTTTTTTTTTAAATATTGGATTAAACGTGTCTTGACGAGACACACAAGAGTGTGTATGGATGTAATTATTCTGATTTAATATGTATTTAATATACACAGTAAGTTTTGTGATTAGAGCTGAGATATTATAAATCCTTTGCGAAGTCTTTCCGCTCTCGCATCGTAAAAATAAACAGGTTTTTAACTTCCGAGAGAACGTGTGAGAGAGCTCAGCAGTGAGTGATAGCTCGAGTCCACTCATGATTCTCCTCAGACCGCCTCAGGCTGGAATCTGAGGTTTTAACGGACGATGAATATTTCATCCACTATTCAGGACTAAAACGCGCCCTTAAAGGGATAAAAATAACATGTCAGTTGAAAGAGATGAAGCCGGAGGATTCTTGTCTTCAGATAAAGAGCTGCGATGTAAATTCTTACGTTGATTTATTTAATTTCCGAAATTACTGACAGATTTTAATATTCGAATCTCTTCACTGTTCATCAACAGTATTGTGTTATAAAGTAACACAACAGTGAATAATGTACATTCGGCTCGATGCTGAAATGTTCACGCTGACGCTTTTTTATTTTTAGATTCATGAATATTTGATTTCTAGACTTTCTGTGGTGACACAAGTAGAAAAAAAAACATGGGTCCATATTTAAAAAAAAATACTTTAAAATATTTTAAAAAATACTATTATAAAATACTAAATACTATAAAATATACTTTAAAAATTTTGCATGTTAATTAATAAAACTTTACAAATAAAAAATTAAATATGTTCAACAAAAATATTATCATTTTTTTAATTATAAAAATTATATATATTTCTAGACTGTGAGATAAAAGAAGTAGAAACAATTAAAATCAGGTCAATTTTTTAAAAATAATTTTATAATTTTATTAAAAAAGAATTAATTTCCTAGTTTAGTATGTGCCAATGCTTGTGTGGTGAAATAAAAAACAACAACAAAAACATTATATTATATTTGTGATAAAAATTTATTATATTTTAGAGTGCACCAAGAAAAACAAAATAAAAAGCTTTGTTTTATCGTTTACTCCTTTTTATTTTGAAATGAAAACTGAATGAATAAAATGAGAGTAATATATTTTTTTGTAATATTTATTGTTTTTCATTTCAAAATGACAAATGGAAAATATTTTTAGTTTGTATCAAGACTTATGTGGTAAAACAAGAAGAAACAATTAAAAACAATTCGATATTTATTATTTATTTTTTAAAATTAATTTTATTGATTTAAAGCCAAAACCTGAATAAACGCAATGGACAGAAATCTTACAGGTTGAAAAGTTCAAGACGTTTTTCCATTCATGAATATTTTGATTTTGAGACTTTGTGTGATGTAAAAAGTACAAACAATTAAAAATAGACTCAATATTTTATTTCTTTTAAATAATTTTATGGAACAAAATGGCTTAATTTCCTATTTTAGCGTGTGCTAAGACTAGTGTGATGAAACAACTAGAAACAATTAAAAATTCATCAATATTTTATTTTTTATTGAAGAAAAATAATTTTATGATAAGAAAAAAAGGTATTTACTATTTTAGTGAGAACCAAAAAAATAAAATAAAAAGCTGTTTGTTTCCGCGTTTTAATTTTTAAGCGTAAAATGAATGAGCGCAGTGTACACAGACGCAAATTATCCTTGTTACGTTGATTTATTTTCTTTTAATTGATTATTTATCGATGAATTCACACAAATAATCGACTTTTTTTTTTTGCAGCTCTGGTACAAAAATTTCTTTATTTCCCAAATTTCAGAGCGAAACGTCCGCCATTTTGAAATCCGTTCCTGTTTGATGGTGTTCCGAGCCCGTGAGATAAAGAGAGGGGGAGTGTGTGTGTGTTTGCGTGTGTGTGTGTTTGTGTGCGTGTGTGTGTGTTTGAGGTGAGGCCCTCTTATGCAAGTTAGAGTCCAAGTGAGCGTGGGAAGTGTGCAGTATAAAACACACACACACACACACACATATTAACACACACACACATATTAACACACACACATATTAACACACACACATACACACACATGTACACACTGACACGCTCATAAGAGGATCAGAGCGAAGCGAGAGGGGGAGAGTTGAATTCCATTTAAGGAGAACACAGTTCATGGCTTACATGTGTGTGTGTGTGTGTGTGTGTGTTTATGACAGAGAGGAGCCACCATTTTGAGAGCCGAACTTCGCTCCAAAACCACAGAGGAGTGATGAATGAAACAGTGCGAACGTTTTAAACGTTTCTGCGTAACTGTAGCGCACGTGATGTTTATCTCAGAGTTTAAATCGATTGGGTAAGCTAATCGTTACGAATCTCAGCGATCACTCCTTCCCTCATCTAGCTAATAGCTAATCACAACAGAGCCGTAACCACCACAGACACTGAGGGAGACACGCAACATAGCAACTTTTTTCTTTTATTCGTACATTTTTCACTTTTAAATGAGTACGATTTCGACACAGTAATCCTAAATATCGTAAGTATCGTGATATGATATTTTTGCCACGTTGTCCACACGTGTCTCATTTGCTTCATCTGAACTGAACAAAAACATATTTATTTATTTATTTATTTTATTCCTTGGTCTCTTCGGTTCAAATGATTTGGTAAAGAAAGAGGGAGGGAAGCTTTATTTTCCGCAGCAGTAGACGTGTAAAATGATCTGTTGCTAGCTGCTGGTGAAAAGAGAAACAGTCGACATCATCTTGAGTGGGTTCAATATTTGGACAAGTACGACGCGGCGCGTTCATACAGCTGACGCGGCGTTGTTTGGGAAGTGCCCCTTGGGTTAAATGTTGTAATTATGATGTCAGATGAAATCGGTGTTAATTTGTCTCTTAGCTTCCTGCGCTCGCTTGCTCTAGAATGATGGCTCTTGATACTGCAGCTCTTTGTCACGGAAGCTAAAGAGCTGGATAGAGCATTTACAGTAGAGCTGAAACACAACCTGGAGTGATTCTGTACATCACGTGGAGAATCCTTTAAAAAAAAAAAGCGTTTTTCTTTTCCTGAATGTTCTCAGAATGACCAACACACACGCTGCACTTTTAAGGATTAATTTAATATTGAGTTTCTGAAATAGAACTAGAATTTTAAGATACTTGGAAATTACTAAGATCCAGATGTTACAGATTGGAAAAACATCATCTGGCCTTTATCCGATCTTCAAACTCTCCAGTTTCATCCTGCTGTAGCCTCAGATTCCCGTTCTTCACTGACAGGAGCAGAACCCGACGTGGTCTTCTGCTGTTGTAGGTTTGCTGCATTCTGAGATGCTTTTCTGCTCACCACGGTTGTAAAGAGTGGTTATTTGAGTTACTGTATGCTTCCTGTCAGCTCGATCTCTCCCATCAACACCTCTACTGACTCTACATCACATGTTTGACGTGAACATTAACTGAAGATCTTGATGTACAGTCATGTACAAACAAATAACCT